ATCATGTTGAGTTATCTTTTCATTTTTTTTTTTTTTCCTTTTTGGCTATTTGTATGTCTTCTTTGGAGAAATGACCATTCGTATACTTTACCCATATTTTAATTGGGTGGTTTTTTATTGTTGAATTCTATTATTTGATTATAGAAAAAATATTCTAGGTTTGGGGGATAGCACTGACTAAAAACATCAATCACTGTGATACCAGGCAATATAATACTTCTACTTGGGGAAAATTGAATATGTGACTTTTATGTTGTTCTGTGGACCCTACCTATCTTTTTCCTGCATTCCCTTTTCTGGTTATCTCGAAAAAAGCCACAAAAGGTGTTTTCATGAATAGAATCAAGAAAGGCCACACACAGTTGGATTTTCATATATTTGGTGCTTGTTTTGAAAAGCTCCAGTTATCACTGCAATTACAAATTATTTATTTTGGAGGCTAGCTAAACAGATTGATTTAAAAAAAAGGTGAAAGCAAATTACTCAAGTATAATTTCATCTATTTGACTTCTCTGGCAAAGTGGGAGATGTTATTTCTCTAAGTTTGTGTAGTCTTAATTACAATATATACAATATATTCTTATTTTTGATGGTTCTGAAATTAAGAGCCACTTAGAGCTAGCTGACTGCATGCTGCTATCCTTATTTCATGGTAAATTTCTGAGTGCGTATAGACTCAGTGATAGCCTCAGGCCTTCATAGCAAAAATCTTGAAAATGACACAACTTGAGAATATGCTTTTATTTTGTTTTAGCTTATGGAATGATTATCAAACATATTGAAAATATAACCTATCAACCTTACTCCATAAAGGTACAAATCAGTACCTACAGATGCTTTCCAGTTGGTCTTCTCCATCCCTTAGACAGAGTACAACTTATTATAGACACAGCAGGGAGTCAGCACCTATGGGACCAGCAGGGAGCTGACACTTATAGACCAAGCAGGAAGCTGGCACCTATAAGACCCATTAGGGAGCCAGCACCTATAGCTCACAGCAGGGGCCTGGCACCTATAGACCCAGCAGGGAGCCGGCACCTATTGTGCCTAGCAGGAAGACTACACATTTAGGGCTCAGCAGAGACCGTGCACTTACAGTGCCCAGCAGAATATCGAAACCTATAGAACCCAGCAGAGCGTGGGAACCTATAGGGCCAGCAAGAAGCCTGCACATTTTAGGCTCAGTAGGTAGTCCATATTAGAGAACAAAGAGGGAGCCAGTAAGTATCGGGTTCAGCTGAAGCCAGCACCTAAAAAACCCAGAAGATAGCACAATTGTGGTCTACCACGGAGCTGGCAATTATGGGGCTCAGCAGGGAGCTTCTAACTGTAGCTCTCGGCAGGTAGGCGGCACCTATAGAGCCCAGCAGGTAGCCAACACCTATAGCTCTCAGCAGGGTGACAGCAACTTTAGGGCTCAGCAGAGACTGTGCTATTACAATGCTCAGCAGACAGCCTGTGATTATAGTGCCCTGAGGGCATGCCCTACAGAACCCAGCAGAACGTTGGTACTTACAGGTCGCAGCAAGAAGGCTGCACATTTTAGGCTCAGAAGGCTACCCATAGTTAGAGAACAGGAGGGCTCCATATGTATGAGGTTCCATTGAAGCCAGCACCTAAAAAACCCAAAAGGTAGCTGACAAATCTAGGGCCTTGCAGGGAGCTGGCAGTTATAGGACTCAGCAGGGAACTTGTAACTGTAGCTCTCAGCAGGGAGCTGGCACCTATAGCTCACAGCAGGGGGCCAGGGGGCCAGCAAGAAGTAGTGGATAATTAAAAGTGTGTGAAGATCTATCTAATTCTGCTCCTCCACCACTAAAAAATATAAATAATGGAAACATTATTAGACTTTTCTATGTCTCTTGACTTCATGACTACATACATGCATGTCTCTTGACTACATACTTCATATGTAGCTTAAATATGTATATGTATATTTGTGTGTATATGTATGTGTGTATATGTGTGTATATATATATATAGGCTATGTAGGCAGGGAAGTCTGTAGGATATGAGGATATGCTATAGGTCCGACACATCTATACATATTTATAGACACATACACACATATTTTTAAGTATATGTAAAATCTCAGGTAGGACTCAAATTCAAGGGCTAGAACTGTCAGTCAGCTATTCTGTGCTGAAATGGAAAGATTTAATCAGATCGCCTCCCCCATCAGCTGTGCTGAGGAATGAATGGGCGTTTCGACTCGGGGAGGGACGGGAGAGGTAAGTAAGATGGGATCATGGAACATATGGAGGTTTAGGCAAAACTTTATTTCTGAAAGCATGGGTGTTCAACACAGAGATCCTTGGATAGTGTGAGGGTCTGAATGATAAGGAAAGAAGAACAAGAGTGAGAAACAATTTGGAAGGGAAGACTGTAGGGTATGAGGACAGATTCTACTTATTAATTCACCCAAGAAAAATTCTAAATAGGAAAAGTATGAGAAACTTTCTCTCACGTTCCTCTTCCCTTTTGCCCCTGCTTGCTCCCCCTGCCTGCTCTTCTGGAACCCAGAAATCAGACTGCGATTATTATTGTTAGTAACTGGAAGACTTTTCATTGTGTTAATTAATGCCCCATTCTCTCTTCACATTCTGCTCAAATTGAAATCAGATTCAAGAAGCCAAATAAGGATTAAAATTCCAGTTTAATTTTCATTCCTGGTAAAGCTGGATTGAAGAATTAGATAATATCCACACTTTGTCCTTCTTCACATACCTACCCAGATGCAGCAACAAAGCACTGCGAGGCTTCCCTGCAGAGGAGAACCCCTGACTCCTGGAGTTGACCCCCTAGATAGTAGTTACCACAGAAAGGAAAGCTTTCTCTCCTTGCAGCCTTGCACATCTGAGAGGACAGGTGAGAGCTCAGGGGCGTGGCTTGCCAGCTAAGTCTGAAACACTGACCTTTCTTCCTATCTTCACCTTTAGATAAGTCACTTTCCTGGAGGAATTACTTAGTGAGAGGGTGGAGGGAAAGGAAATTGTCCTTTCTCTCCTATTTTCTCCTTCCTACTTAGCGTGAAAGTTCTGTTGTCATTGCAGAGAGGGAAATAAGCAGCCACCTTCTTGCCAGTTAAGTGTGTTGTGAGTAATAATAGTGTTTTCTAGACTAGCCTCCAGACTTTAATTACCATTTATAAGATTGGACCTGAGGACATGTTTTCCTGGGGAATAGCTAAACCTCAGGGTTTTTAAAGTGGATGATCATTTCATTGTGTGGTTAAATGTACGGATTGTTCAAGTCTACTTCTCTGACATACTATAGGCCCTGGCGTGGCTCTTGGGATTCACCAGTGAACAAAAATGAATCCTGCTCTGGTGGAGTTGACGGTTTAGAAGACGGTCCAGCTAACAATAGAGCATAATGAATGTTAGAAAGCACAGAGTACCTGGGGACCACAGAGGAAGGGGCGCTTATCTAAGGGGGTCGGAGAAGTGATGTTTCAGAGCTAAGATCATAAAGTAGAATAGGAAATGGCCAGGGCAGAGGGGAGGGTGAGGATAAGCAAGGGCGCCTAAGGCAAGAGAGATGTGGCCAGACTAAGGGGGTGGCGGTAGTGAGGAGAGAGAAGGAGACAGAGACTGAAGTGGTGTTTTTCAAACCTAACAGTAGACTGTAAACATCAATTAGTGGATTGTGATCTGCATGTTTTCAAAAAGAAAAAAATAGAAAATAAGAGTGTGTCACATATACTGGTCACATTATGTTGTATAAAGTTAGAAAATCCCTACAACAGAGGAAACTGAAAAATTCCCTTATGCTCACTGTCAAGGTCTGGCGTAGATAGGGATGATTATGCAGGATGTACTCAGCCTTGTGAAAGACTTTGAATTTGTCTTAGAGAAGTGAAAAGCCATTAAAAAGTTTCATCAGGGCCTTCTTAGATCCACAGCTTCTAAAGATGCCTTGGGGTACCTGATCTTTCACAAATAGAAACTTCAAATTTCCTGTCTCAGTGTTACAGGTATTTCCAAATTGGTTCCAATCTGTGATTTCTAAAGACTCTTGCCACCCATTTTGGTACAGAAACTTCCCCTTCATAAAGATTCCTTCTTTCTGGGCCTCCCTGGTGGCGCAAGGGGTTGAGGCTCAGCACTATGATGCTATCCGCAGCCACTGCAGCACGAGTTCAATCCCCGGCCAGGAAGGTGACCCATACGGCGCAGCAGACCTCTCCAGCCTCGCCCGCTGCTCCCTTCAGCAGTGTATTTCAGTCAATCTTCCTATTCTGCTCCCCACTCTGTCTCTGATGAATCCTCTCACCCACCCACCCCCATCTCTGGCCGGCACCCCAGCTCTTATATGCATAAATAAATAAATCTTAAAAAAAAAATGTTTAAAAAAGATTCCTTCTTTCCCTGGATTTGCACCAAGGCTGAAAGACCCGAGAGAGCAAGCTTGCTTCTGTCTTTTTCACACTAGAGCTCTGACATTTCATACAGTTCTTGGTGCCCAGTAAAACTAGCAAATCTTTGTTGGTAGATTCTTCATATCCTTAATATTAGACTGTCATATAGTTGTAGAAATGCCCTTGATATTCCTAGAAATACTTGCTTTTTGGGGAAAAGGGTTTTGCTAGAAATTCTTTATTCTCTGTTGGATCATGACTGGGATAGAACCACATTCATTGACAACTATTTTAACAGACACTACTCACGGTCATATCACAACAGTAGTAGAGATATGGTAAAGAACAAATGTTCTGATTTGAAAACAACACCTAGGTGGAGGCTGCCCTGGGGTCATTTGTATTTTGTTCAGACAGTTGGGCATTCTCTGAGTTTTAGAACGATGTCTGGGGACAAGGAATAAATGCGACTATTTAGGATCAATCGTATGAGCGTAACGGAGAGGCTACATAAGATAGATTTTGGTCTTAGAAGAAGTAAAAATAGAATATCCATATACCTAGAGAACTTAGAAATGAGAATTTAGTGATGTCAGCTTGTTGTCAGAGAATGATTGTCCTGTCACAGTACTATGACTTCACAGAATTATATTGTTCAGTGCAGCTGGGAAGGAAAATTCTTTCACTGAATGGTGTTGATAAGAGGCAAGAGAAGTTATGATAAATTCATGAAAGGTAGAGAGATTTCACTTTCTGATTCCAGTTTCTCTTTAATATATTTTTGAGGTGTGGAAACTTTGCTAATTAGTTTTGTAAATTAGATTTTATATATTTTAAACATGCAGGTTAGACTCAAACTTTGCTTTCAAAAATGCTCACTGAATTTTATATTTCTGTATTCTACAGAGTCTTTTTTTAAGCAGTGAATTGAAGAACTTAAATTGAAACTGTTAACGTGTATAAATTTATCCTAAGGAAATAACTCTAAATATGGGGAAGTATTGTGCACAAAGGTGTTTCTTTTCATTGCAATGTAATTTAGTGGAGAAAATGCCCTGCTATAGAGAAATGATGCATTAAAATATGGCAGTCCACTTCAAGATATCTAACCATGAAAAAGGCTTTCTCACTGCAGTGGTTTCTTAATTATTACTTTTTAAATTAAAAAAAAAAAATAACAGTGCTCAGTAAGTGAAAGTTCAAATGATATACCTGGCTTTTAGACAGTGCTCTGAGGAGGGCCTTCAAGGCGTACTCCTTAGGTAAGGTGGGGACCAAGTGTCTGCAAACCAGGTGGTTCAACCTCTAAGGCTTTGCTTCTGCCTGTTTTATATATTGGAATTTCACTTAGAGCTTAATTTAAATCAAGAATTCCTCTGCAAAAAAAGAAAAAAGAATTCCTCTGCATTAAAAAAAAAATGTTTAAAACAATTGGCTTCATTAAAAAATGAAGTCCAGGGGCCTCCCTGGTTCCCGGCCAGCCAAGGAGAAACCCACATGGTAAGGCAGACCTCACCTGCCTTGCCCGTTGCTCCCCTCAACAGTGTCGTTGGTCTGTCCACCTGTTCTGCTCCCTGCTCTGTCTCTGGTGAATTCTCTTACCTTCCCGTGCCTCTGACCTGTACCCCAATTCTTGTATAAATAAATAAATCTTAGACACCCCACCGACTAGGAAAAAAATTTTGCACACAACACTAATGATAAGGAACTGATCACAAAAATCTACAAAGAGCTGAAGAGACTCGACAAAAACAAAGTAAATAATCCAGTCAAAAAATGGGCAGAAGAGCTAACAAGGAACTTCTCAAAAGAGGAAATGTAAATGGCCAACAGGCATATGAAATAAATGTTCAGCATCACTTGTAATCAGGGAAATGCAAATCAAAACTACAATGAGATACCATCTTACACCAGTGAGAATGGCACAAAATAAAAAAACCAGCTACAACAAATGATGGCAAGGATGTGGAGAAAAAGGAACTCTCCTGCACTGCTAGTGGGAGTGCACACTGGTCCAACCACCATGGAAAGCTGTGTGGAGATTCTTCAACCTGCTAAAGATGGAGCTTCCATAGGATCCAGCAATTCCACTCCTAGGTATTTACCCAAAGGACACAGAAACATTAATTCCAAAGGGCACCTGCACCCCTATGTTTATAGCAGCACTATTTACAATAGCTAAGCTTTGGAAACAACCCAAATGCTCAAAAATAGATGACTGGATCAAGAAGATGTGGTACATATACACCATGGAATATTACTCAGCAATCAAAAAAGATAAACTCATGCCATTTGCAGCAACATGGATGGAGCTGGAAGGGATCATGCTCAGCGAAATAAACCAGAAAGAAAAAGAAAGATACTGGATGGTCTCACTCATAGCAGGAATTTAGAAAACCTAAATAAGGGACCAGGAAAAAGACTAATTGTAATAAAGTAAAAATCAAAATCAACAAGCAACTGTAAATCAGAGGCACACCAGGGGGCAGGGGGAGAGGAGGAGGGATTAGGGTCAAAATAAGGAGGGGGGGAATTGTATGGGACTATAACCAAGGTGAAAATGCATACACTGTGCAAAAATGAAAAAATGATGTAAAAAATATATAAAATTAAATAAATAAAAAGCAATCCAACCGTTTAGGCAAAACAAACAAAAAAGTTGCTTTTCCCCAAAGAAATTTTTGAAGTGTGTTATAAAAAATATTATTTTTATAATAATTTTTATAAATAATAAATAATTTTATTATTTATTATTATTAAAAAAGATTATAAAGATTATACAAGAACCGGGGTACAGGCCAGATGTGCAGGAGGGTGAGAGAATTCACTAGAGACAGAGCAGGGAGCAGAACAGGCAGACTGACGAAATACACTGCTGAGGGGAGCAGCGGGCGAGACAGGAGAGGTCTGCTGCACCATGTGTGATTCTCACTGGCTGGCCGGGATGGAACCCGCGCTGCAGAGGCTGAGGACAGCTTCACAGCGTGGCGCTCAACCGCCTGCACCACCAGGGATGCCCCAATAAATAAATCTTTAAAAAAAACGATGAAGTTCCAAGCCCCCTAGTCAGGATCCCCAGACTCCCCAGCTTATCATTTTGCTGTTTGTCACAAGAACCTCCTACTCAGGCATGTCTATTCGTCCCCCAGCTGTTTCTATCTGGCAACAGCCCCCTTGCTAGAATGCACTCCCACCCACCTTTTCCTTTTCATTTGTCTAAACCTTACCTGTTTTTTAAGGCTCAGCACCTCATCATTTCATTCATTCTTGCTTTGTATTTAGTGAACACCTACATTTACAGTACCAAGTAACACCTACAGTACCGAGTAGGGAATATGCAGAATTTTGTATCAAAAGCAAATAATAAAGGATGACCTTCATGTAAATAAGTGCAATATGTAAAGTAAGAGCATTTGGGGGGTAGGTAAGTGTTCTCTTCCTTCTGTACCACCTTGTATGGACAGGTTATGATACAGTGACGTTTCTGGGCTTTCAGTAAATGTTTGTTCATTTGTTAATGGGTGGAAGAAATCAGAGAGTTCACCTGGGTGTTAAGGATGAGACTTGTTTGTTTTCATTCTTGAGCAATTAGCTGTGGTCCAGAATAACCTGCATCCAGTTTACTGAACTCCAGTATTGGGCATGAGTGGGGTTGGGAGGGTCTTGCCTCTGTAGCCCTCCGCCCCCAGGACCACTTACACGAGCCTAGAAGGAGCTTAACTCTGAGAATCCTGCACTGAGTCTCTTCCTCATCCAGTTAGTCAGAAAGTCATGAATTCAAATCCCATCTTTTTCCTACTGACTTTATGACTTGGGGCATATTACTTAACCCCTCTGAGACTTAAGTTCCCTAATCTATAGTATATAAACTTATCAAATGCCTAGGTTTTTTAAAAAAATATTATTTGAGATAGGTACATATAACCGAACTTTATTCTTTTTGCTTTAAGAGGTGTTGACGTTCTATAGAATGGATGATTGTTCTCCTCGCCTTTGGGATTTAAGTTTTAAAGTACTTTGGAGGATTTATGGACCAGGCTCTTGTTTTTTAGAGAGATGATTTTTCAGTCAGAGAGTGGCTTTTTGATAAACTATTCACATTTCTGGTACGGTAAGAATAAACAATATAGCAAAGTAATAGGGCCAAAGGAACATATAATGAAGAAATAAATCTTTTTTTCATCATTATCTAGTGTATTACCTTAGGACTTAAAGCAGGTTATTATATCTATGGTCATGAAGGAGCTCCGAAATCCAAAGCCTGGCCTGCTGTTTTCTTCATTATATCTGCCTCTTTTCTCTGTTTTTTAAAAGATAATAAACAATAAAGAATTTTTTAGTACCATTTTAATTCTCTAAAAACAAAAGTCAGAAACTCATATTCCAGCATTTCTATATTAAGTTTCAAAATAACTCCAGGCAAACTTGTGATGGATTCCATCTTTCTAATGTTCTGGCTGAGTAGACTTAGTTTTCTAGTCTAGAATAAATCTTGCAATTCAGTTTAAGGTAGTCTGTTTTATTTGTAACTTGTAAAAATGTTAGACATCTTTTTAAAATTAAAAAATGCATGATATGTTTATATTTAATAACAGTAGTAGAGCTACTTCCTATTCCAGCTTTCATTTTCTTTTCACAACACTGTGGTTTCCTGAAGACCTGTTTTGTTCAGTATATATAGATCTGGGGTGTGTGTGTGTGTTGCTCTCTATATAATATATATACGCATATGTCTTTTAGTTATATATAATACTTTACAGTACGCTAGTAGTTTAATTAAAGAAGGGTGGGTTCATTGTGTAAAATGTAAATATTAAACTTCAGGTTTTTTTTTTAGAGAAAACTGTAACAACATAGTTTATCTGAAAATTATATGTCAGGGATTTAATGCAACAATGTATGACAGTTCTGTGATTGTATGGTGTAGTGATTTCTTAGTAAGGAAAGAAGGAGGTGGAAAATTGGGCTTTGAGCCTTTTATAAAAATATAAATAATGATGAATAGTGATAATAGCAACTTTTACAAAGGTGCAATACACTATTCTGAACAATTCATATGCAGTAAGTTATTCATCCTCATAATAACCCAAATGAAGGAGATATTTTTTCTCCTGGGGTGTAGCGATCCCACAGCTATTGAAAATCAGAATTGAAGCCAAAGCAGTTTACTGGATCCCAAGCTCTTACCCACCATCAATATCATTAGTATGTTGATGCTTCTTGACATTTAATTTTTTTGGTAGAAAATTCTTAATTGAAGTGTGAAGATTTGTTGAATAAGTCACTTAAATACCCCCATTAAATTATTCATTGGAAGTCATGTTATTGGTTTATTCATCTAATGACAGCATAATAAATATCTTGGTAAGCTTTGCATGAATTCAAATGTAGCATAAAGCATTTGTCAGTGATTTCATATGAATAATACAACTCTGAACAGGCGGTAAATACTTTCCTTTTCAGAATGTACTTGACTGAAATCTGTAAACTCATGTGTGGGATTTTGAGTGTGTATAGATTTTGTAGCCTGAATGGAAGCTGCTGTTTCTCCTTAAGAGAACTTTTTCAGCCCCAGGGAACAGTGCTTTGTAGGCGATTTAACCATGTTGTTGAGCACTAACAAGGGGACACCAAAAGAGAAAAAATTTTAAATAATTTCATGTTTCACAACTTTTAAAGAAAACTTATGATTTCATCCTGGGGAGAAATCATGCTTTTTGTAACTCTTATTTCGT